TCTTCTTCTTCTTCTTCTTCTTCTTCTTCTTCTTCTTCTTCTTCTTCCTCCTCCTCCTCCTCTTCACCTCCTTCTTCTTCTCCTCCTCCTCTATCTCCATATCCTTCACTTCCTCTTCTTCTTCTCTTTCTCCTCCTCTTCTTCCTCCTCCTCCTCTTCCTCCACTTTCTTCACCTCCTTCTTCATCTCCTCCTCTATCTCCATCTCCTTCACTTCCTCTTCTTCTCCTCTTTCTCCTCTTTCTCCTCTTCCTCCTCCTCCTCCTCCTCCTTCACCTCCATCTCCTTCTTCTTCTCTCTCCCTCTCCTCTCCCTCTCCCACTCTCTCTCCCCTCCTCCTCCTCCTCCTCCTTCCTCCTAACAGGTGACGGCTCCTTTTCTTCACGTGATTGCCATATTCACCATGGTGCTCTTGGCTTGGCCGGTGGCCCTGCATTTCTTCCGGGTACGTGATAAAGGTAGTGTATCTCCAGCGAATAACCATTCAGGCCCCACATAAGCGTCTTCACTGGATCTTCTGTCTCGGGCCTTCACGCCGATTCCTTAAAATGGGGGCACTCGTTCATGCTCTCTTGGTGCTTGTTAATACCAGAAGGCCAAGTGTCCAAGAGCAGAGATCTACCATTAAGGGATAGTCTCTCCTTGAGGTGCTACCCAGTCAGAGGTGGGTATTCAGCAGGTTCTGACCAGTTCTGGAGAACCGGTAGCGGAAATTTTGAGTAGTTTGGAGAACCGGCAAATATCACTTCTGACTGGAGATTTTACAGTGTTCTTCCCCTGCCATGCCCACCAAGCCAAGCCCATAGAACCAGTAGTAAAAAAAATTGAATCTCACCACTGTACCCAGCCCCATTTGTCTGACATAGTGTAGGGTTTCCTGCCTAAGCAGGGGGTTGGACTAGAAGACCTCCAAGGTCCCTTCCAACACTATTATTCTATTCTATTCTATTCTATTCTATTCTATTCTATTCTATTCTATTCTACTCTTCTCTACTCTATTCTCTCCTATTCTCTCCTATTCTCTCCTTTTCTCTTCTCTTCTCTCCTCTCCTCTCCTCTCCTCT